TCATATTTCAAAGAGTAATGTGCCCATTTTCTCATCTGGGAAGCCTTGTAGGTTTTTTAATACATTTTTATAAATTAACCAGGCACAGATTTAATAATAACTTGCGTTTGTATAGCTTTTTTCATCTCTGAGGATCTTGGATTGCTCTGCAGACTTAACGGTGTAATATAGAAATTACATGCCGAAGGATCCATTTGCTCTCTGTCGAAATGCGGCAGTCGTTTGGATTGCTCAGCAACGCTCGTGGATGCAAACGACGTCGAGGGAGGAAGCTTGAATCCAGCAGCAGAAGGTGAACTTGGAGGGGAAGGCGCAGCGTACTTTATGGGGGCTCAGAGCAAAGTCCTCTGAAGAAGAGGTCACAGAGATGTTGAGGAAATCTGCACGAGAAAAGCAGGATGGTTACTGAGCCTGGAAACCAGGATGTTGAAAAACAAAGAAGAAAATGCTCCTTCACACACTTTTAACTTTTGGGATGCATTGTCGCTAGATGCGGAGAAGCCAAGAACATGGAAAGACTTGGGAGATTGGTCTCTTCTGTTCATTATGTGTTTCTTTAGCAAGATATCCGACAGCAGACAACTTTATGCATCAGGACGGGAAACTTCTAAGCAGGAGCATAACGTTACTCCACCAGAGTGTTTTTAAGTAATCCAAAACTCTTGGATTTGGTGACGTAGGTTCTTCTCATATCACCCTTGCTGGCCAACTTAGAAACGAAGGGGAAGGTATTGAGCTTCTTTCCTTGGAGACTTTCATGCTCTTTCAAGAGTTTCCACCCAAGTTCTTTGCTTCTGAGATCCCCAGGTGAGATGGGGCTTTTCCAACCCTCTGTCTTTTCCAGTTGCCATGTTTTGGTGTCGCTGACGCTAGGATATTTGTCATGGCGGTTGCCCCTTCCCCATCCTGAAAAGAAAGAGTTCAGAATGAAGCTCATGCATATAACATGTGATTGGAAAAATATTTACAGATAGCAAATTGCTGTCTCTGTAGAAGGAAAAAGTGAGAAAATGGAAACGTGGTATTTATGTTAATACAAAGTTTTTAAAATTTAATTTAAGAGACCAGCTGTTTCTGCTTCTCTTATAAGAGCTTAATTGGTATATAATCGCATAGTTAATTAAATACAAATCAATAGTTTAAAACAGCTAATTGATATTTAATATGTACGGGAAAATGTAACTTAGTTGTAATATAATTAACTCAATATTAAATAAGCAATGGAAATGCAATTATGCCTTTACAATTATTATAAAGTTTATCCTTCTTTAATAAACTTGCAATTAGACAGGATGAGCTGAAAAATTATTAAACAGGTATTATTGGGCTATTAAACATTTATTATCATTCCTGGTGGAATACAGCTACACAATAGTACACATTATGATTGTGTTAATAAACCTTTATTACCGCTTTGCAGCTTTAGCCTTTACTGCACCAGTTGATCAGAAACTTAGTTCCTTCCCTGAGTTGGGGGTGGAGGAATTGCCTTGAAATTGAGTAAGGAAATCCCAAACAATGGGAGAAATGAGGAGGAAGCAGGCTGATTCCATAGTTTGGGTCAGCAAAGAGAAATCTTTCTTTCAAAGCAAACTTCCCCACTCTGTGCCTAAAGATCCCTTTCTAGAAAACCCTGAACTCTTGTTTCTTTTAGTTGGCTTTTGCTTCGTTGTCGCCAGCTGCCCCCAATGCTGGCAATGTGTGGTTTGAACTTGCTTGTGCTTTGTCTGATGAGTGGTTCTTCTGCAAGTTTTGAGGTGAATTAATGCAGGTACTTTTGAGCGAGTCAAAAACATGGTTCTGACATGCATTTTCCAAACAAGATACTTAAGCTCGCACTTCTTCAGAGCGCCTGGGGATGATAAACTTCAACTGTAACTACTTCCAGTCTGCTGGGAAAAATCAATTGCTGTTGCAAGGAAATGGCTGGGATTTGTTTTGTGGGTGGGGGACACGCATGGGTTAAAATGTTCTGTTTTCAGTGGTATCTCAGCAGCCCCCCTAAAGCCAAAACATTTAAAATGCTGGGTACCTGCTTAACTATTTTCGCTTTAGGTAGCCACTAAAAGCCATGAAGTGGTGAGACATCCTTAGGCATCGTAGTCATCTTGAAGTATTTTACCTTTTAAAGACACTCTCAAGTATTTAAAGGTGCCTTTAGCTATAAAGATTTTTTCGCATGTTCTCACAAATTTATGGTATGAATTATTATAATGCGGTGCTCTTGTATAGCTCCTTTCATCATGGGATATCAAAGTGTTTTATAAGCATTAATTATAGCACCCCTCAGGGAGGCAAATGGAAGATAGACACCCATACCGGTGTGTGCTGATCCAGGCTCCAGACGGGTAATAACCCAGATTTCATCTGGATCCAGCGCACGTGGCTCAGACCTGACAATCCCTCCCTCCTCTAAGGGCTAAGTTGTGACTGGGACCTCTTGGGCAGCACAGCCATTGCCTTGGGTCGTAGCCCCTTGCCACAGCCTCTGAAGCACAACCTCTTTCTTGGAAGCATTTCCCTCCCTGCGACTGGGAGATGAGAGCTGGACATCTGAGTGGTGGGATATTCATCCCCCAAGTAGGCTGCAGCTATTGCTGCCTCCGTCGCTGCTTTGGTTCAGGATGCTCTTGATGATGTTTGTGGCCGTGGTCTGTGGAGAGCGTGGCAGCCCCTGTCATGCCAGGTCTGTCTCTCCAGGAAAAACCCAGCCAGCATCCACAAACAGGCCCACGTGTGCTTGCCGGGATGTACAATGCGCATCTGAATTAGTAAGATAGGAACGTTGGCTTGCTCAACTCCGCTGTGGGCTTCACCGCCTTGTGTGACGCTAATCTAATTCTGTTGTTTTAATTACACTTTGATACCTTGGTGCTCGTTGAAGGCTCAATAGGAATCGATGCAGTTTTGCTTTCCTATCAATAAAGACATAAATGCCTCTTGCCTGCTTTGCAGGCTTTGTGTAAATGGCCCCAGAGGCTATTAGCAGGCTCACGGCCGTCTGGCCACGTGCACATGGGATGTCTGTTTTCACAGGCATCGTGCAACCCTTCGTGGAAACCCCACTCGAAGTTCAACCAAGTCTTATCGATTCTAATTATCGGACAGTGCTAAGGGAGGCGACCTGTGCTGAATGTCCTTCAGCTAAAACCGGCAGACCCTAGCAGCCGTTGAGAGTACTAGAGGCATTTAATGCTCTGCAAGTCGATACCTTTCCTGGTGTATTTGCAGTTGTTGTGTAGGCTGTGCAGGGACGGTAGCTCGTGTCGCCTCTGTACGGCGGAGGAAGAGGGCTGGTTTCCACCTTTACCTCTGAGATGGGAGATGGTTGCTGTTTGCCTCTTCCTGTTAATTAGGACTCTGATTCAAGAAACGGCTGAGGATGCGGATAGTTGATTCATCTGCCCTGATTTGTCTAATTTTTAGACATCTGTGTCTGAGTTAGTCACCATCTTTTATGGCCAATGAGAGAGTTACAAGCACCCCCAAAGTCATCCTGAGAAGGTGAAGTGAGTCACTTTCTGGAGATGCCTATTTCTCTCTGAGGCACTACCTTAGGTGGCAACGTGGATTTAGGGGGGCACTTAAATTTCAGCTTACTCCAAGGACCTCAAGAGACTTACTTTTGTCTGAGCATCAACTTCAGTGGGATTCCACGTGTGATTCATTTTGGTTAGATGCTGATGTTCTCCCTGATGGGAGCCTTAGGATCGAGCTGTTCGTCCTTAGCCTCTTGCAAGGTGGAGCCCTGTTTAATGTTAGAGAAAGTGCTTTAACTAGTCTTGCTTGTACCCCGAGTGTCCTGGGGTCAAAAGAAGTCTGTTTTTTCTGAGTTTAGGCTCTGATTCTGCCTCATACTGTGCACAAGAGGAGGATGCTAACCCCTCATGGCAGCTAGCAGTATTAGGGAGGGATACTGTGTATCTGGGTATATACCCACATAAATCTGGGTGTCTTCCCTGTACAGCACATCACGCTGCGGTGAGCGACTTTCCTCTTCCTCTGGACACGGTCCAGATCTACAGTTCAAACCCAAGTTTGCATCATGGCGCGAAACGCCAAGGCTGCCAGGCAGCGCTCGCTCCGCTCTAAAGCTGTCGCTGCTCTCTCAACCCTCCTGCTTCGCCGCCTTCCCCTCTTGCGTGCGACACAACTTCGTGACACTCCCGAGCCCTCCTTCCTCGGCAGAGGGGGGCTCTGAAGAGACCACAGCTACATTAAGTAAACATCAAAGGGGCTTTGATCAGCGGGGCTCTGTAGAGCACAGAAGCCCCCGAGGAGCTTTGCGGGTCCACAGGCAGGCAGCATCGGGGACATGGTACCTTAATTTTCTCCGCTGTGACACAGGAGAATTCGTTTGAAGAACTAGAGATTTTTGCCGCTCTGAGATGCGCACGGGGAGAGCACGCATGCATGCAGCCTACTTCTGGAAAAACCCGTGTTCAGATCTCTCTCTGTTTGTTACCGATACTCAGAAAGCCCCATTAAGAAATCAAGGCATCGGAGGCATCCAGCTCCTCAGACTCTGGCACTTTGCTGCTTGTAGGGTCACTTGCTTGCTTCTAAAGAGCAAGATGCCTTGAGCCGGACTTATCTTCCCTTCTGAGGGCCATTTCCCATTTTACTTTGCTGCCTGCTAAGGGAGAAAGGGATTAAAGGGTCCATGTTGTTGCAACGCACTGATGTGGAGGAAGATGCAGCTCATTCCTTCTGCCTAGTGTAGAGGAGCACTTAAGAAAAGCGCAAGGGAGGGGATGGTGACCCTCCTGTCTCTAGATACACCTGGCTAAGTGGAGCAGCGCAGCAGCACCTGGAAGCACTTGGTTTGGGACCCCCAGCAAAGTTCAGCTGCGAGGCTGACCAAAGACTTCAGTTATGCGCCTGCCTCGCTGGCGCTTTACCTGAATGGTAACCGGCAGGATTTGCTCCCTGCAGCATCCCCATGTGCTTGCTCTTGTCCCCAGCCTAGTCTTCTAACATCACTCTCTCTTCTCTTGCAGAACTGGGGCTCCCAGGAAGAGGATGCTGCCTAGTACTGGGGTTCATGTACAAGGAGAAGTACCGCAGGATGACTGAAGGTGAGCAGCTCCCTCACCTTCCATTCTTCCTTCCTTTTTAGCAATCTCTTTGCAAGGGACATGGATGTGCTAGATTCTTGTTCGCACCGAGGAGAAAATCCTGCTACCCCTTTGATCTCTGAAGCATCTTAGTGGGCACGGATGTGGGAAGCCCCCTGCACGAAGCTGCAAGAGAAGAGCAGGGACTTATTAGTTCCATACATCCAAAATCCACTGTCTTTTTCCCATGGAAAGGATTTGTCACATGGGAAGCTCTTCCAGCAATTGCTGCGTCTAGTCTTTTTATTCTAGTTGGGCGGTAGTGCCTCACCGTGACACCTTCAGAGTACCAGTTTTCAGTGCCTTTGCACCCCTCAGAGGAGCTGTTCCGTTGCTTGTCAAAACCCTGCACTCTGGCATAGATCTCACTAAAATTTCCCTATTTATATTCTAGTCACCCCCAAGTATTTTATGAGCATTGATTAATCTATAGAAATATCATAAATAATTATGAAGCGTAATAACTAAACAAAAACTATTTACGCTCGGAAGAATTGGCATCCTTGCTTCTGGTAGCTTCGTTGCTTGGCTTCTTTTTCTGGAGCAAACCCTGGTGCAGCACCATCTCTGATTAGCGCTGGGTCAGAGAAGGATTAAAGGTCCTAGAGCCCTGCAAGATGGGAGGGTCTTGAGGGTGTGTTAAGGAGAATTTGGCCGCTCTGAGGTTACTCTGGGGACAGCAAACTTGATCCAAACATGGATTTAAACCCTTTTGGGGGCTTTGATTGGAAATTATTTGGACAAAGGGTGTGATCGCTTGCCCCGCTGCATTTCCTTTAGCTTGCACGGGATGGTGTATTGCCAGCAGTTAGCCGCGGGGGGGTCTGCTCTTGCAGGAAGCCTTGTCTTCACGAAAGTAAAAGGTGCATTAGCTTTCAGGGGGTAAAACTCTCGTGGAAGCAAGTTTATGGCTCAAAGATCAGTTAGAAGATCAAAGGTTCCTTTAGTTTCCCAGGAGCCCTGATAACATGGGGAAAGTACTTCACCTTGTGCTTGTTAATTACCACATGCTTTTAAAACATTGATTAGAGTATGTTTTTAATGGGAAGGGGCTGCCCCTTGGGAGAATGGATGTCAGAGTCTCGTCCGAGTGCTGTGAGAAGGTGCAATCTCTCTCTCGATACCTTCCTGTCCCTCAAGCCTCTTGGAGAGGCTGCTTGTGGCCGTGCTCAGACGGGCAGGAGCACCCTGGGGATGCTCACAGGGCGTCTCAGAGGCAACAGGACCGTGGGTGCACCTGGGCATCCTGCCCATCCTTTGGGATCATTCGCAGAAGCTCCTGTCCCCCGGTGGATTCAAAGCCTGCGTCCGCCTACAAAGTGAGCCCCCTTTTCAGGCTGAACGTGGCTTTGTGTGGAGAGAACAAAGAAACATGAAAGGCCAAAAGTAAAGCCTTTGTGTGGGAAAGGGAACAAAGTGTGCCTGCCTGGCGCTGTACAGCCAGCGAGTTTCTGGCCCCCGCGGGTTGCAGGACCATTACATTTAAACGTATAATCTGCCAAAAACAAAGTCAGGGGATTTCCATGGCTACAAAGACCGCCTAGGACTTGTGTTTTCACTTGAGGTGGTTCTGGATGACAATTGCATGCCTCAAACCTCCCGGGTTTTTGGTGGATTTCAGTGCAGATCCGTGCTGTATGGCGTGGGCTAAGCTCTGATGAGAGCCAAGGGGGGGTTCAGATGTCTGGTCATCTACAGAGGTACAGCAAAGGTATTTCCTGCCCAGAGTACCTGAGCCCGACTCTTTGGGCCAGTTACCTTGCAGGGATAAGGAGAGAGACAGCTTCCCTTTTGTATTTTTGCCAAGTGAGAGCTTTTCCTCTTTTTATTGCATGATGGTGCTAATGAATAGCCCTATTAATAATTACAGGGTAGCTGAAGGAACTGAAAACAGAGGTAGGCAGTGGGGCAATCGGATAATTATGAGGTGTGGGGTCTCCGTCATAGTGGAAATGGGTAATTACAGGGATCATTAGAACCTTGCTGTCACTTAAGGGAGACATCTACAAAATGCGCTCGTAGGTAGAGAAGCACAAGAGGATTTAGATGGCGACCTTGTCAGGTGGAGGAATCACTTGTTCTTGTGAAAGTGCTTCTCTTGGCTATCCCCACGGAGAAGATCCAGGCTGGGCACTTGCAGATCAGTGTGGCAACCTCTCCCAGCAGGGTAAAATAAATGTTGTGGCTTACAGATGCTCTGTGGCCATGCCCAGCGAGGGTCTTTGGTAGCATTATGTTGTTTGTTTACCAGCTGGCAAGTAATGGATGTCCATTAACACGACTGATTGCAGATGTGGGCTCTTCTGGCTGAGCTGTTCTCCAGGGCGAGAAGCCAAAATAAGTGTCCGAGAACTTGCCACTGTTAGTGTTAGTTGACACATATCAGTCCCTCGTATCAACATATATCAGCCTGTGTCATGATAAAACAGGTCTGGGTGAGGTGTTGGTGTCTCTCCCAGCTGTAAGGCAACAGAGCAGCCTGGGCTGCTGCTGGCACCGCTGGTGATGTGCAAGACAAAAATGATGTGGGCACTCTCCTTGCAGCTGGCATTGCTGTGCTGCATCAGCTGCGATTGCCTCTTGCTTTATTGCCACTGTGAAGCCCACACCAGGAAAGGTGCTGGATTTGGGCACAATTTGGGGGCGGGGGTGTGGGCCAGGGAGTGGGAAGGTGCTGCTCCAGCATGGCTGCTATATGCTTACTCCTTTGCTGTGATTGACGATTGCCTCGTCTGCGTGCTGGGATCGCTGTCTGGTGTGCGGCTGTGAGTTGTAGGGTGAAATTAAGCTGGTGACAGTTGTAGACAGAGGGAGAGAGAGGTAGAGCCGTCTGTAATGACGGCCTTGCAATAAAGACGCTTTAGAGTTAATCCTCCACCATCTGTCTTCATTCCGCTAATAACCCACTCAATCAGATGCTGCCGACTGTTTGTTAACATTCAGAAACAGATACATAATCAGGAGGACCGTGCTGTTTGCTCACGAGGGGCTGGATTCCTCTTCGGGAACAACTCTCCCCTGGCCACGGCGGCAGTTCGGCGAGAGCCGCGGCTTGTGGACTGGATGTCCCAAGGCACGTGCCGTGCAGCGGAGGTGATGCTGAGGCTGGCGGCGAGCTGAGTTATCCTGCTTTCCCCAGGGCTCCTGCTGCTCTGGCTCAAGGTGATTTTGGAGTAGAAAGGTGGTATCTATGAGGCGGGTCACCTTAGTCCCCCAAGAACAAGGATCTTGAACTAACCTGAAAATTGGGGCTTGTTTTTCTATTCCCTCTTCCCCTTCACATTCAGTTCTCTTCCCTTCCCAAGGGAAGGCAAGGGGTGTGCTGTAAAATCTTTCCCTGCTCACCTATCGTGCTTGGTCCCTGCCTGTGCGTAGCCGCAGGTCCCAAGTTGGGCTTGCTCCGTTCTCCTCTGCAGCCGTCAAAGGCAGGTATTCAGATGTCGATCCTGCTCCTGCTATTTTTCTTCTTCTCTCCTGCCTTTGACTTCTTGCCAGATCTAACTCGAGTCATTAGCAAGCGTCACTGCAGCAATTATGGCACTTTTTGGCTGCCATTCATAAAGCTACTAACGGGAACGATTAAGCGCTGAGAGGTGTCAACCTTCTCCTTCACCACCTGTTCCCGCCAGCCGTCGGCTGCTGGAAGGTGCCTACAACCATCTCCCCGCGCGCAGGGTAGCGAGGCAGGGCAGCTCCCTTACCTCCTCTCACCTCCCTTTCCAGGCATTTCGCTGGCTCTCGTGTCCTCGCATGCAGTGGGCAGGTGGCATCTCTGCGGGATGGACCCGGTGCTCGGCTTTGTCGCTGCCTGGAGGGGAAGGGTGGGCTTCATCCTCGTGTCCGAGGTTGGGTGGTGAAAGCAGGCGTGGCTGGGAGAAGGGAGAGAAGAAGGGCTTGGTGCGGCATCCTCCTCCTGGACCAGCTAATGGTTAATGATCTGTGCTCAAGGAAGGACAAACTCCCCCTCTTCAGCTCCCTGCTTGGCTTATAGCCCTGCTTTCTGCTTTGCTCGTATCCACGCCATCGGTTAGGGACAGGCACGGGGCTAAAATCTGTGCGTTAATCTGCAGGCAGTCTCCTTGGTATCGGCCGCTGTAGATGCCAACGCTGACTGGTGTGCCAGGAGAGGGGCTTGTGCAGGAGTTATCTCTGGCAGCAGCCGCCCTCCATTTGCATCGTGGCTGGAAGCAGAACCCAGTCTCTGTAGCTTTCTGCATTCAAGGTGTCTCCATTCACTATATAAAGCACTGCGATACCAGCAGCCATTACCGCAGAGCTGCAGCTCCACATAGCAACGAGTGCTGCTCTGTGTTTAATTGGGAGAGGGTGTTGCTTAGCAAATCATATTTGCTGGGTAATGACTGTAGAAATCTGCTCAGATAAGGGCTGTCCGAATCCAAGGCAAGAGATTTTTCTCTAAAGGCCACGTGGATGTTGTGGGGCTGTTGGTCAGCACAAACCTTGGGTTTTGGGAGTATAGGTGGTGAGAACTTAAAACTTTTGCAGTCTGAGCTGCAAATCTCACCTTGACTCTCTTGTGCAGAAGGTTTGGGATCTTATTTAAAGGTGCTGGGACTAATGCAAAGCTCTGATGTCTCCTGTTGGGGGAAGATGGAGGTCCCAAAACGGGACCATCCAAGTACCTCAAACGTAGGCGATTCATCCTTATACCTCAAACATGGGACACAGGTCAGGCTTGGCCCAGAGGGGCAATGACGATGGTGGCCTGAACTGAAGGAGAGCCACCAGCCTGTTCTCCTTGTGATGGCTTGTGCATCCATGCAGCCCTCACAGGCTGCAACTAGCAGGGATGGTTGGGATCAGCCCCTGCCTGCCTGGCAGAACTGGGCAGCTGCCTGCTTCTGGCTTGTGTTATCAGCTGTGGCTTTGCGCTCGTGAACTGCGAGCAGCATAGCTCTGGATGGGGTGGGTTTTTTTTTTTTTGTCTTCAACTTCAGCGT